GGATTCTGGCTTGGAAGGAAGGAGTTATCTATCCTTATTCCAGAGGTGGCCCAGACTTTTTCCAATCATTCTATCTGCAATAAATTTTAAGCATGTGCTGAAATCTCAAGGGGTTTTAAGCATGTGCAGAAATTTCTCATCTTTATCTCTGTATTCAAAAAAAAAATCAACGTCTGTTCTCAGAAAGCAAAAGCAAGATGCCTGCTTTTCACATCTGGGCAGATTGTCAAGAGGACCTCTTTTTAACAAAAAGACCCTAATTCTGTATCTTGCTTCACAGGGACTAACAAAATTTGAAATTTTGAGCCTGTGAATATTGTTTCCCCTCATTTTTCCTGTTTCCCTTTTCTCAATAGATTCCTTTTAATACCATGGTGTTTTAAGTTTGTGAATCCTTTTGAATTTTCAATATTTCTGCATGAATAAGGTCTAGTTTGTTATCTGTTCTTCACACAGGTAAGAACCAAGTAAACAAAGGAATGAAAATAGTCCTTATTCATTTATTTATTGAAGCAAATGATCCCAAACTATAAATCTCTATGGCAAAAGTATGTGAACCTTTGCTTTCAATAATTGGTTGTACCCCACTCCTACCCTTTGGCCAACAATAACTTGCAACTAAACATTTCCAATAATGATCAGCCCTGCACATCGCCTTGGAGGAATCTTGAGTCCATTCCTTCTTATAGAACAGCTTTAACCCAGGTATGTTATGGGCAGGGTGGGATTCAACAGTATCCCAGGGTGGGATACTGGTTTGGTGACTACATTTTGCAGGTAAGAGCCCAGGCGGACGGGTGGACCAAACAGCAGCAAACACAGAACCGGTTCGGTGTCTGCTGCTCTTCAGAGCTACTGGTTCTACAGAACCAGGCAGAACTGGTAGCATTCCACCCCTGGTTATGGGCTGGCGTGAGCTGCCCACTTCAGGTTCTTCCAGAACATTTCTATTGGATGAAGTTCAGAAGTTTGACTTGGCCATTCCAAAACATTAACTTTCTCTAATTTAACTATTCTTCGTTGTCTTGCTGTACCTTTCTCCTTTCTCTTTAGCTTCAGTTCACGGACAGAATTCATAGTTCCATGAATGGCGATTTTAGAATTTTTGGTTCCAACAATGATGGCAAGCTATCCTGGTCAAAGCATTAAAGCAAGCCCAAATCATGACACTGCCATCATCGTGTTACACAGATGGAATAAGGTTTTCATGAGGGAATTCAGTGTTTGTCTTTCAACAGACTTCATGCTTTTTATTCAAACCATTATTCAAACCAAAAACTTCAATTTCGTCTCATCCATCCACAGAACATTCTTCCAATAACCTTTTGACTTATCCACATGATCTTCTGCAAACTGTAGACCAGTCCAGACACATCCAACCCGTGGCCAATGAGTTTCATACAGCCCT